GGTAGAACTAAATAACTGTGGTTTGCAACAAGTATTGTTCTCAGCTGCATTCCACCAGAAGAGGGAGAAGGAAAGAAAAAAAACAACATTAATACCATGAGCCAAACCTCATGTCTTAAATTTTTCTCTCAGCATGACCCTATCCAAAACATACTACAGTGGAGAAACCAACAGACATATGGAAATAACAGAGAGAGACAGAAAATAGCATTCACATTAGAACAGACTAAAATCACAAATTGATGTTACACTACTAAAATATGCTAAGCATGCTCCCCTTTAGTTACAGTTTCTCAGAAACTAGCAGCAACCTTTCGTTTAAAGATGTGTATCTTTTCATAGCATGTAGGATGAAATCTGCAATCACTGTAACCCAAGCCCTTCCAGAGACAGGAAAATGACAATATTTTTTCCAAACTTTTGATAACAATGAAACACAGCAGACCACACATTGTAATTAAATTGTTTCTAAATTTTGAGCATGAAAGAGCAGTAATCCCCTTGAGTTCACAAAGTGCCCATCACTGGGAACGATCCCCAAAACCTTTACAGATTGTTACATATAGGGGTGAAATCCTGGCTCTGTAAACTTCAATGGGGGCTAGGATTTAATCTCAAGTATTACAACACTAATAAATTATATGTAGCCACAGAACTGAAAGTCACGCAGTGTCACCCAACTGATTTAAAAAGACCCAGAGATAGGCCAATAAGTAGTGCTGCAGGGCAGTTATAGAGTGCATGAGGGAAATGTCACTGACGAAGGAATGGTATGAGTCCTATTTTTATGCTGCTAAATCCTGAAGTCCTTATTCAGACAAAATTCGCACTGAGCCAAGAGTAGTTTTTTTTGGATTAAGAACTGCTAAGAACAATTTGAGAGATTACCTCAGGATTTGACCCAGACAATAGTACTAAGGTACTCAACAGAAAGAGACTATTTCCTTTTCTTTCCCATTTCTAAAGAAAATCTCTATTTCTGTTTTCTGAAATACTCCCTAATTTATTTAATTTGGGGGCTGGAACTGTCTACTTCTTCTGTGTTTGTAAAGCATCTAGCCCACTAAGAGCTGGATCCACAATTGCGGTCTTTGGTGCTACCTCAATACAAGAAATAATAAACCCAATTATGCTTCAAAGACAAAAGAAATCGATATAAGCAAAATCCATGCTCTGGCTAAGGTACATACTTGCAATTGGTCAGACTGTGCATGGGCAGTTGGTATGCTAGGAGGGGGAAGGAACGGCCTTCCCAAAACCACCAGCCTGGCCCTACCCATACTCTACCCCCAGAATGCCTACTATAGCAGCAATGGGCGCAGAGTATTGCTGCCCCAGACCACCCTCCCTGCCTGTGCTCCAGGCCAGGGGAGCTGAGGCCGCATGCCGCCCTCCTTCCCCATTGCTCTAGGGCTGGGGAGGCTATGACCGCATGTCCTCCTTCCTCCCCAGTTCTCCAGGGCCGGGGAGGCGGGAGTCATGTGCCCTCCTCCTTCTCTGTGAGCCAGTGAGGCTGTGGCTGTGCACTGTCCTCCATCCTGGGGACTGGGAGGCTGGGGCTGTGCACCCTCCCATCTCTGTGGTGCTGGTGAGGGGCAGCTTGGTTCCTGTACAGGGCTGGGGCCCGGGCAGCAGGGGTGGAGCTGGAGGCAGGGCTGGATGCTTGCTTCCTCCAGTCCTGCCTTCACCGATTGCCCATGAGATTGTGCATGAGCAGTGTAATTTTGTTTAAGAAGAGTTCATGTGCAGTGAAATGTTCAAAATCCAGGTCAATAAAGCCCGAATATATCAGTGGGACTACTTGCTTTGCTGAATCTAGGTCTAAAAGAATAGCTTCTCTACAGCATTAAATCCACAACTTCCTGCTAATGACATATTGCAACCCTCCACCATACTCAGTTTATATTACATATATAATTGGTAAGGGGATTGCAGATGAAAGGTGTTATATAAATGTAAAAATAATATTACTCTTTCTAATTGGGACATATTGAATTAGGACGACTGCGATTTGGGAGGGTGCTCTGGAGACTGATTTAGCCTAATGATAATGAAGAAAAACAACTGCTGCTTGATCAGAAGAGAATTAGCATATTCTGAATAATAGGTTCACACCTGCTCTGAAGCCTGGATATATATTTGAACTTAGCTACTTTATGTTATATTAAAAATTAAGGCTGAGGTTTATAATGCTGCCTTTGGGGACTTAGATGCACTACTCCCATTAAAAATAATGGAAATTAAGTTTCTAAATCCAGTAGGAGGCTTTGAAAATCTCAGCCTAACAGCTTTTTTTATGGTCATTAACCCAGTATTAAGCACATTAGAAAAAGCTGTAAACAATCTTTAAACACAGGGTTCCCAGACTGCTTGTACCACGAACATGGATAGTTTGTAAGCAAGATGGAAGCATTATAATAAGGCTCAGTGGGACCAGCAAGAATTAAATATTCTGGATGGAATTTTTTGCCTAAGTGAATTAGGAACACAAAAGTGCCACTGACTTTCAATGGAGCTTGTGCTCCTGAGGCACTTGAGTACTTTGAAAATCCTATCACCTATTTTCAAATACAATTAAATGTTTTGTGGTTAAAGAGAGCTTCTCTTAAAAGGTAAATTTTCAGTCTGCTGGGGCTAAAGTAAAAAAGGAGCAGGAGTACGCTCTCACCATCCAGGGCTGATATAAATGAGTGACTCTACAATGCGTGTACTGTATGCTAATTGCAATGGCTACATATAAAAGGTATCTATACATGTTTACATACCTTATCTATACATGTTTAAATGTTTCCAAATGTCATCTCTGATGAGATTTTGCTGAGAAAAAACCACGCTGGAGTTTCAAGGAAAATCGGAACGGATTAAATTAAAGCTGACATTAACCGCACAATGAGAAGCTAAACTTTGATTAGCTGCAACATACAGCATGCAGCGCCACATAATATCATCCACTGTGATGGCCTGGATATCACAGCAAGTCAAACCACAGAAACACTATGAAGCAGTGCTATTAGAGCATTCAAAGAAACTAAGACTTGCTCATTTTTGTAGGTCAAACCCACAGTTTCCGGTTGCCTTGCTCCCTTAATGCACTGCATACGAATGGGATAATGGGGGCCTTTCTTTTTAGACTCAGTCACTTACTGTTGCATTTTCAGGATTCCCATTAGACACTTCCACAATCCTGAGTGTTTTGTCCACCCTCACCTTCGCCCTTGTCACAAACTGAATGACTGATGAACTGTCCTGAAGATTAAAAACAGAAGTAGTTAAACAAGCTTTTTCAATGTAATAACATTATATTAAATGATTGGGAATTTGGATTTGGGCTCTTTAACACTATCCCAAGTTCACTGTAAAAAAAAAAAAAAACACAGCATGGTGCCAATCAACACAGACAAGCTAAATTTTAACCACAACAGTTCCCAAGTAGCTAGAAACAGGTATTTGGAAGCTAAGATAGACTTACAAATGGTAGATGATAAAATTGTTCATTATGTTAAATAAAACCAGGCATAGCACACTGCATAAAGTTAGTATTTGTTTTATATTTCCATTTGTAAGGTTAACCTTGCCTTGCATGTTATACAGTATATTTAAACACGAATTTTCTGACCACTTGCGTTTTAACTTATTATTTACTTTTATACTGTGTATATTTGTGTAAGGTTTCTTTTCATTTAGGACCAGATTGTGCCATTACCATGTTCTGAGGATAGTGTCCAGCCCCCTTGCCGTGATGGAGAACTGGGGACATCATATACCCACACCCCAATATAGCTAGTCCACTATGAAGAGGGTGAGGAATAAATGTTCTTGCTTAGAAAGAGCTGTGTTGTAACTTAGCTGAGGTAATCATGCTGCATATAGCCTTGAAAGAAGATAAGTAAAGCATCCTGCTGAGGCAGTCTGTGTGGTAGGGGAATTCACAGCATAGGCAGGGAATTATGCAGCCTGGAAAACCCCTGTCAGAAGGGAGATCCATATCTCTACTCAAAAGAGGTGACAGCTGGGGAGTTGGAAGCCTGAAAATGGGTGCCCTTGGGGAATCACAAAGGGGTAGATACAAGTGCAGTGGCCCTGAACTGTGACAAATACATGTATGGAGGATCTGTCCCATACATCCCAGGGGCCGGGTGCAGACCCTCTTCACAGAGATGAATGTCACTATGTACACAAATGCATGTTTAGCGAACTCAAATTCCCTGCTTGCATATCTGCGGGTATCATAAGTGGGAACAACTGAAACATTTGGCTCCGTCTATGTGCTGTTTCTCTAAACATGGACAATCAGCAGGTTTCAAAGTGGTTTCAGCTCAGAAGGCTATGAGGACATCCACTGGTATCTACCTAATTTTTAGGAAAAGACCTCTCCTTTTCTGTTTTTAATCTAGCAGCTGTCATTAACAAATTTATCTAACAGATTTATTTTATTACCCTCCGACTGTGATTATTTTATACTATTATGATGACATACCTTTGCTGTAGTTAAACTGTAAGCTAAAAATAATTAAATAAAACCCACCTTAGCTACAAAATAAGTAGAAATACAGTACATCTTTTTAAAGTTTACAAATCTTGTTATTTCATTCATCGATAGGATGGAACGTTGCTTAGCCTGCTATCATGTTTCTCACCATGAATGGCATGTTTATTTCTTATCTTGAACCTGCTAATGATGGCTATGATTTTTCTTTTAGTATAACAAATGTTTGAAGAAAGATTTTAAAAATTATCAGGCCTTTCCTCTTGTATCTCAGTCACAAACAGATAAGGATAAGTACATGGATCATAGTTTTTGCATACTTATTGGACTCATTATCTGAAAGTTTTAGAAAGCAGCTTTAAAACGGTATGTGTGGTTGTTTTTGTTTGGTTTTATTTCTAAATGTATTAATTTCAAAATGTAATTATTTTCTTTTTTAATGTACTTGAGAAAAGTCAACAAAATTCACGATGACACCTCCAGCTCTACTGATCATAAACCTAACTGTCTTATTTTTATAATTTTTAATAACACAGAGGTGATATGATTTAAGGCCAGACTCTTCAATGTGATGAGCACTTCCCCTGAAGGGGTGAGCTTCCTCAGCCAACACAGAATTTAGGGGGAGCTAAAGCCTCAGAGTACTCTCCAGGATTGGCATCCATTAATTACTTTCTTCTGGAACTTTTTACCCACTGCTATTGCAATTGAACTTTTACTTAAAGGGTGCGTGCAGACTACATGGCTCCGTCAACGAAGCCATGTAAAGTAGTTTACTTGGCATAGTCAAAGAAGTGGGGATTTAAATAATCCCCGCTTCATTAAAATAAAAATGGCCTCCGCGCTGTGGCGACGATCAGCTGATCCGACACAGAGCGGTAGTTTAGACGTGGCGCAATCGACAAGAGAAGCCTTTGTCGACCGCTCCAGTATGCCTTGTGAAACGGTGGGTTATGAGAAAAAGGCCACTGAAGCCACTGCAAGTGATCTATCTTAAAAAAAAAAAAAAAAAAAAAAAAAAAAAGCACGGAGGCTTTAAATAAGAGTTTGCAAGACCTGTTCTTGAATTTTGCACATTCTATTTTAACTCTATCTGCACGTGCACATATTCATACACCATCCTTTCCTCCCTCTCCCCCATTATTCTGAAATAGAGGAAGTAACTTTTTAAAGTATAAAAAGTTCTTTGCTGTCATTTGAACCCCAGCTTAGACAGAAAGGCCTATCTTATGCTTCTGTAGTGAATGAATAAGAATGTCAAGTACAGAAATAAGAATTTCAAGTATAGAATGTGCCTAATAAAGCCATTTTGTAGTGCAATACACAGCAATTAAAACTGGTTGAAAAGGTCAGATGTTTTTTAGAATAAAACTACTTTTTTCTAAGTTCCCTGTAATTTGTATTTGTTTGTTTTTGCAATGAAAAACCAAAACCTGAAACAATTAAGGTCTTCAAACCTCATTTCAGCAAATAATTGTGGTTTTCAGTTAAAAAGTATTGGTTTTTGAAAACCAAAAACTGAACATTTTTACCAGAATCTAAAGTTTTTAGCAAAAATTATGCTCATAAAAAGTTTACATTTTGCAGTTTTCAACCCAAAATTAGAAATTTTGACCACAATGAAAATTTGATCTGGAAATTAATGAACTTAAAACTTTTCAGTGAAACCATATAAACTACTTCTACTAGAGGCAGACAGAGGTGATAGTGCTTTGTGTATATTTCAATATAGAAATATATTTAAATCAATACTTAGTATATGAACTAGAAAGAGAGGCAGAAGCACTTACCTTCTTTAATATCTCAGTATTCAGCAGCATGTAAATATCTATATTGCGGGATTCTGCTTTTGCTAGTGAGCTTAAATTACAGCGTATAATTAAACAGGATCTGCCTGGTCTTTCACAGTCCTAAGGGAAATAAGTAAATGGCTGTAAGATGTATTAGGAAGGGAGGAAATTGTTCATTTTAAAACTAGCTAGCAATACCAAACATTCCTACTGACTGGATGAAAACAGCTATGTGATGAAATCAATAGCATTGGCTGTACAAATCTCTTATGCAAAAGAGTGTCTTTTTTCAGAATATGCAGAATCATAAACATTCCAAAACTTCATAAAAACATGTCAGAGGAAATTCAACCCTGTGCCCAGGGTCAGTGAAAGGTTTATGCATCACTTATGCTGGAACTGAACAGAGAATTAGCATTGTCCTGGGCCCTACACAGGGATAAATTTCATCCATAGTAAGTAAATTCTGATATCTATTACTCCCTGCTCAGAATACCTGCCCTGAAATAAAGTGATCAGAAAAAAATTACTACAGAAAATCATTATCCACAAGAATCTATGTATTTCTACTGTATATGCTTTGTAGCTAGACTTGGAACAAGAGTAAACACTTTGAAGGTCTGCATTTAGAGCCTGACGCAAAGTTGAAAGAAATGACCAAAAGACTCCCAATGACACCAGTGGGCTTTTGCATCAGCTCTTTATCTGGTTACAGTGATTTCATATAATTTGTCACCTTCTGGATTTCTTCAAACTCTATCAGTCTTTTTTTTTTTTTTTTTTTTACTTTCAGAAAATATTATTCAACCTTTACTACTTGTGCTCTGTTTGATTGTCTGTAGCACCAAAGCTCCAGCAGCGGTCTGAGATCTCTGAGCACTACCACAATAAAAATAAAATAATTCTTATTTTAGAGAATAAGAAAGTTACTGAAAAGAAAATAAATTAACTGAGTTCTTCACACTTCCCCTTACAATAACATTTATAATATATGACCCTTTTATTTTTTTAAAAATTTCAGTCATATATGGGATTTCTTACCAGTACTTTTCTGCCAGATTTGGTAAAAAAAGCAAATATCGTATGAAAAATATTGTCATTTTCTTGAGGGATGACACACAGATTAGGGTTTTTCTGAAAAGAGCAGCTTCCTTTCTCCTGAGAGACCTGAAAGCACAATGGAGATCAAAACATGTGAAGAGTCAATTCATAGCATTTACAACGTTGCATACTATGTGTCTGTGACTCTTGGAGCACTCCAGTGCCAGCACACAAAGGGTTCACTTTTCTATAACAGCAATTTCCATCAGGCCTGACAAAATCACCTCACCTAAATAGTGTCTTGTATGGGTTCAAATGAAAGCTAGTGACATACTTGCCATCATAGGCATTGCGAGATGTATGCACAGAAGATATGTAAGGAGTTATGGTTACCTATAACTAGTAAGAAGGCAGAACTGTCAAACAAGTTTTCTGCCAGAATATCCCCCTCTCTGATGTAAATTAATCATTTTAAGCAAAATACGTGAGTTACATTTACATTCCAAGTCAACATGAGGATGCGAAGTTAACATTGGGGTCAGCGCACCAAAGAACAAACCATCAGAGGGTATTTCAAAAGTTTACTGTACTACAACTAGAAGACAAGTAAGATATTTTGTCATCCATTCCCAAAGGAAACCCCGGAAGGATGTGGGAGTCATGACAGAAAACTAGCAGCTCTGTGAATCCTTGAGAGAAAATTGGATTTGTTAATTAGGAAAGGTAACCCTTAATAAGGGTGCACAGGATTGTGCTTTGTTGTTATCATTATCCTTGTTATCACTGGTACCACTTCTTATCTTGATTCACTCTCTCTTTGATCTTAACCTTTGATCATAAACTTCTGTTTGTTTCACTGTAAATGTATTTCAGTTCTCTCCTGTTATAAAGGGCCTGATCCTGAGTTGTGCCATTCAAGTTGCAGGTTCCCAGTTTCTTCAGGGACAGTTTGCCTGGTAATTTTTGTCCTGTGACAGGAGCTGGGCACTACAGGCAGTGTTCCAGGGACTCGGCAGTTGGTATATGTCTATCACCAGTCTGCACAGAGAGGGCCAGGTCAGTAAAAACCTGGGAGATGCAAAACTACCTTGTGCTAAGGAGAAGTAGTGGTGAGGTGCCTCAGAATCCTGCGTACAGTCACAGTTTCCGTGCACGTTAGTACTAAATATCTCTGGGTATTTCAATCAACTTAACTGTTTCATAGTTTGTAAGGAATCAGCTCAACATAGCCTTGGAAAATCATCATGAAAACGTATCACCTCAGGCACAAAATGTGTTCATTTACTTTTTTTTTTAATAAACGATAATGATGATAATATGCTATATATTTAACAGAATCTGTCTGTATGTCCGTCTGTTTGTTCAAAACCTCCTCCTAAACTAAGAATAGGACCACCAAATTCAGTATGCAGCTTCCTCTTATAGCTTAAAGCAAGGTAAAGGGTTTGGTATGCACATTCCACTTTCCTGGCTACATCTAGACTGCAGGCTTCTTTAAAAAAAAAAAAAAGCTTTTCTGGATGAGATCTTCCGGGAAAACATCTTTAGAAAGAGAGCGTCTACACAGCAAAAGCACATTGAAAAAGGGATCTGCTTTTTCGAAAGATAGCGTCCACATGGATTGGACGCTATCCCGTATATAAGGCCACCCGGAATCAGTTCAGGCAGGGCATTAGGTCAGCAGTTGCTTCGGAGTGCTGTTGCCTAAGCCTAGCTGAGACACGCGCTTAAATGAACCCCCCCGAACAGCCGTTTCGCTGCTTCTGCTGAGTGCTTGTCTATCTCTCTGAGGGACAGCAAAGCTTTATCAGTGCGTGCTCTGGCTGCCCAGCATTAGGACACCACTGCATACTTCTTGCCATGGAGCCGGAGCTGCCCTGGACATGCGATAGCCCCACATGGCCAAGTTGCAGTTTGTGCAGCAGTTTCTGCAGGCTGCCTTCATGGCCCTGCACAAGCTCGACACCGAGCTCATCCTTGAGACCCTTTCCCTGTATGTGGGAGCAAGACCCTTGCAACCACACCCCACAGTAGAGAGTCGGTTTTGGAGACTGGACACCAGTTTTGACTGATGGGACCGGCTGGTCATGGAGTGGTGGGACGACCAGCAGTGGCTCCAAAACTTCTGCATATGGAAGGCCACCATTATGGAGCTTTGTGCCTGGCTCACCCTGCCCTCCAATGACGCGATACCCACCTGTGGGCCCTCCAATGACGCGACACCCACCTGTGACCCATCATCCGTCTGGAGAGGTGGGTCACCATTGACGTCTGGAAGATCGCCACCCCAGACAGCTACCCGTCAGTGGGCAACCAGTTCGGCATGGGAAAGTCCACCATCAGGGCCCTCTTCATGGAGGTAAGTCACTCTCAGGCTGCAGTCCCTGCGGGGGGGGGGGGATGAATCATAGAAAAGGGGACCTTAGGGAAAGGGAGGAGTGTGGGAGTGGGATGGGGGTAAGGGGCAC